GAATGGCCTCGGCCTGAAATTGCAGCCTGAGGATTTGGTAGGTATATACACATATCAGATGTTTCTCAACCCCCAGGCACACCTCCCGAACACCAGACCTCAGCAGTTACTCAGGAGCCTCGATCTTCGATCTGTTCCGGCGGCGTGTACCGGATACCCTTGCAACCAACCCGGTCACCTGGAGCTTTCACCCGTTTCTCTTTGGTCGTCCAGTTTCTCAGGTCTCCACTTTGCTGGTGCCAAAGTTGGACTCCGAGGTACAGGCAGACGGACTCTTCCGTCCGACGCTCTCCTTTGCGTACGGTGGGGGATGGCTATGACTGGCTGGGTCGAGTTTTTTGTTTGTTTTTCGGTAGCTGAGGCTCGGTGGTGTTGAAAGGGCTCCGGAGACTGCACTGGGTCTCCTGCCATGAGTTGTTTTTTGTTTTTCAGGTCTAATTGTGGCCCTTTGTAATTGGCTTCAGTGGTTTCGCAGCGGGGCAGCTTCAGCCATTTTCGGCATGTCTATGGCCTGAAACATAGCAAGCCAGAGGGCAATGAGCGGTTCCTGAATCAAGGAAACCATTTGTCGAGATGGACAAGGGGATTCCTCTCCTGCACCGAGGCACAGTGAAAAGCGCTGTGAAGAAGCGAAAACCAAACCAAAAGAAACCTCAAAGAAGTCATCTTTAGTGCAACATTCAGACATGGATAAACAGGAATCCCAACACTTGCTTCCCAACGAAGTTGGACGTGTTCTTCAACGCTATGAGCGAATCTGCTGCGAAAGGATCGCATCGATGCTTGGGGAGCAGTATGGAGCACTTGGGGCACCTTTGGGGCCGATTTCTTCGGAAGGCACCACGGACCAGCTCACAGATGAGTAGCGTTTTTGTACCAAATGCATGCGAAGGCAATTGTGTGATACGCTCGCGAAGCAGCGTAGGCACGATTTCACGCAGGCGAAGCCAATTTGCGAAGGCCAACTTAGAGTGTATGAAAGGCTGTGAAACCAATTCACGAAACCATTTAGATGGTCTGTGTGAAGGTGTGCCAAGATGGGCACATGCAAGTTCCATGCATTGCATTTGCGTGGAACAACCGGATGGTCCAAAATTATAGGCTTGATCGTTGGCTCTATCGCGGAACAGATCAGATGGAAGTACCTGGTTTTGCGCATACTTCCGGAGTAGTTGCTCACCTATATAGGAAGAACTAGGAGCAAGGAACTACTAGGGGCTCCTGGCATCGCTACTAGGAGCATATGCATCGGGTAGGTGTTTGCTCCTTCAAGCCGCATGTCTTTGTAAGTTGGCTCCCTGGCTCTTGTGCGCTGCGGAGACGCGCGGTCTCGGAGTTCCGATTCCTCTCCATGCGTCACAGGTCTTTGAAGCCTGGTAGGGCCGTGGGCCAAGCCTGGTAGGTCCAAAATCCGAGTTGGGTGAATAGACACCCATTAACCTCTCAGGGGCTATTATTATAGACACCCCTTGGGGTCCTGGTATACTAAACCATGTGGCATTCTTGTATATTATGGTACTCATTGAAAAGAAACGGTTTTCACGTTCCAGGTCACGTTGCCGAGGGATTGCCTGATGGATTGCCAGCGCTTGCTACATCAACTACAGGCGCTCAGCCGGTTCCTGCGCATCCGTTCCAGCGCTGCGCCCGGGTTCGTGTGGGGGAAGGATGGATGAATGTCCAGTGTAAATTGGTGTTCACATGTCCAATTTGCAAATTGGAACGAATTATACACTCTGACTCACGTCACATGCAAATGGAAAACCACCTGTTTGTAGACGAACATAGTCTTCACAGGGGCCATTTTCCAATTCCATGTTAGTGAGCCAGAGTGTATTATATAGATACACTGTATATATGTTTCCAAGTATTTACAATGACAGGATATGACAGGATATTTGTGCCAGATGGACAAGGATGAGATCCTGCACCACGGAATGACACTGTCGTTCCATCCGACAATTCTGAAACCTTGCTTTGCTTGGTTCAAAAGAAGGTATAAAATTATAAAACATGATATAACATGATCTTTAAATCAAAGAAACAACTCCTTATAGTCTTCCATAATAATATCCGATGTCCTCCAACCAAATCCTCCCTCCCTCCATTCCTGCTCTGCCGCAGCTCACCGCGCCACACCGCACCACCTACTGGCAGAAGGCGCACCTCGGTATTTTGCGGCTCTTTGCCGCGCAATATTTGAGGCGGGAACAGTTGAACAATGAGATGGAACGATTTCTGGGATGACGGGGATGGGGGTGAGGTGCTTTGAAAGGATCGTAAGGGATCTCTAGGCATTTACAACACCAACATGCAGCAGGACAACAGATTTGACAGTGGTTGAGATCTGGATCCTTCTCCTGACACCTCAGGCCAGTCAGGAGGAAAGCCAGTGGCCAACAAGATCCCGAAGCAAAAATTAATCCCAACAAGTGGCTTTCCAAGCACAGAAGCTGACTTTGCCCACCAACACTGGGAAGGTCAATCTGCTGGTGGTTTTGAGTCACATAAGGGGCTTCAGAGCGCAACAGGATCAATTTCCTTCACACCGTGAACAAGGAACGGCTTCTGATAGATTTTGTGGTGATGTGTCAAAATAAATCGTTATGTTTTGGCCCACATATCGCCCGCAGCTTCTTCTCACTCTGACTAAGAGCGGCGACGAGTCTTTGGCACCCGGTCGCTATGGCGAAAGCGCTCACGGATCGATGGCGCCACTTCCAGAATGGAACATCAGGGAGCACCGGGAGGAGGATCCGGGCACTCCTTTGAAGGGACCGTCGTCTCATTGCCAACTCTGCTTCGTCAGCGGAGGGACAGAGGATGATAAAGTGATCATGTCAGGTTCCAATCCATCATCTGAACGTCAGGATACATAGGGCGGTCGATCAGAAATGGACCAGCAAGACCTCGCCAAGCTGGAGGAACAGCCAGTCCCAAAATACCTGCCAGATGGTAGGATCCGAGGGCAAAGCTGGATCAAGAAAGGCACTGCGAGTTGCTGCCTCTTGTCACAGGTAACATTGTCACAGGTAACATTGGACGAGATAGAAGAGCAATCTGGGGAGACGCAATGCCGCCGCGGTGACACCTTAATGAATGCAAATGCCCGAAGAGGCCAGGACTCTCGTTTTCCGGTGTCCTTTGAGTTTGCTAATTGGTCTAAAGTACTGTAGTAAACGTACGTAAACGTAAAGCAATCGATGAACGGTTTTATACCTCGATCAGTTATAGTGTGAGCCATGACTACGATCGCCCTACCCTAGAGGTTTGTGAGTTGGGGAGCCTAAGAAGGACTGACAAACATATTGTTTGTTGGGGGGCTCCCCCAAGACTAGATCTCTTGAGGATGGATCCCAAAGGGATTGGTTTCTGAACGGGCAAATCAAACGGGGCATTAGTTCATGAATGTTCATGATACGTTAGGGATTTGGATGGAGAGTGCGATAACTTAACTAGTTTTAATAGATTTGTGGTTTGTAAGGTGGTTGAAAGGAGTTGAAAGGTGGTTAGTATGGCAGGAACAAGGCGGATCAAACTCAAACTAATGCAAGAGGTTCCTGAATCATGGCTTGACATGAAAAGACACATATTTGTGTAAAGGAACATGATATTGAACAAAAGTAACCAAAAGGAACTATGTGTATGTGTTTCTAAATTTGATCGGGTGGATTGCTTGTGGCCTGTGGCCGAGTATCATCTCTACTTGTGAACTGCTGGTTGGGAATGTTCTCAAGCAGCACATATACTTGTGAAATACTTGCTTATTTGTATTTCCGAACATAGGCTTGTTTGTGGCCCAAATGCTACAATGATCAGTTCTTTTTTTCCTCTCTTCCATGACCCATTTTCTCAGTTTTTGTATATATACGCCTTGGACAGCCAAGAAATCCGCATCCTTGCTTTTGTCCTTTGTCTGGGTGGTCCTCTCCTGGGTCGGCTCAACAAAGGCAAAGTCTGCATCAGCCTCATGGTCATACTCCATGACTCCATGACTCATGACCTTTTCTTCGGCACCCACCTCGGCTTCCTCACCACTTTGGGCCAGACCCAAGCCCACAGCCCCCCCACAAGTCCCTTCCACCGTTTTTGTTCTTTCTTCGCCATCATTCTTGTTCTCACTCCAAGGGTAGACGCCGTATGCGTTTCGTCTTGACGTCTCGGTTCGCTTTGGCTTTGGGAGAACTGACTGGGATTTGGCACAAGGAGATCCATTGGCCTCAGCCTTCGCTTTTGCTGCACTATAGGTCTATTCATGGGAGCAAGGTCGGTGAAGGAAGAGGTGAATGCAGAACTGGTTTCGTCTCATTGCCAGATTGCAAACCTTCTCTTCCCTCACCTCCATGTCAAAATGAGATGTTCGAGACATCTTCCACTCCACTCCACTCCACTGGAGAAACCCGAAAACCCGGTGCTGCAAGCAGCTCCAGGCCAAGCCAAGCCATGCCCATCACACCCGATGGGAAGGCGTGGAGGGGTTGATGAAGGTCTACAGTGTGTGGCTGAAAACTCAGTTCTGAACATGAATGGAAAATGATTTTTCGAAACAAGTTGTTCTGAAGTTCCATCTGAGTGTTTGTGGGCAGGTGCAGTGTGGCTACCTTGGGGTGGTTGCTAGGGTGAAGGAAGGTTTCAATATGGCCGTCTCATAGATAATGATGCATGCGAATATATTGACAGTTTCCTGATGACCTTGCAACACATGGCATTCAGACACATCCAAGAGGAATCACATACATATGAACCACCTTAAACAAAATAGGTTTTCTTTGTAGCTACATGTTTCGGATGTTTGGATGGTTCACACAGCTCTCTTTGTCTATTAAATATATATATATAACTAATTGTAGTTATACTTAACTATATGCATATATATATATATTTATTTATTTATTTGATTTGTATACAAATATATATATATATATTTGTCTACTGTTGGATGTTTGGATGCTTTGGCATCCTTTGCCACCCTTTTTGAGGACATGTAAAGGCAAACATGCCGCACTTGTCAGGTGTCGTATTTTCTGTGTTCTTCGGCGTACTCGTTTTGGCAAGCCTCATGAATGTTCGCATCCAATTTGTTGGCATTCTGAGAAGGTGTTTTCATTCTCGAAACGTTCAAACACCTTCTCAGTTTGCTGTCCATATCAAGTCTCTGAAAATTCCACGATGGGTGGAAGAGGCCTCCCGGTGGAAAATGACGACTCAACCCAGACAGCCATGCATTGGCTTAAAGAATCTCTCAAAGGGACACGATCCAACTGTCCAATTCTCGGCGTAGCAAACCTGAGCAACATAAGCCTTAAGATGGTCTAAGGTATTGGATTGGGGTTGGGGTTCCCTACAAGCTCTGGGTGCTTGCAAAGCTCACTGGCATGCTAGACCAACTCTTGGTATTGCAATGTCCCTTCTAAGGAAAGCCCGGCAGATGTGAAATAGAGATTGGATTGAGGTATATATATATATAGTTGTCATTAGTTGCCTACTCGGAAAAGTAAGCGAGGGAAGAGCTCCAAATGTACATGTTGAATAAACATATTCCTGATCCTTGAGTTACTTCAGCTATGTGAGCTTCACCATTTGCTTAAAGCCGTCTCCCCAGCGACGCGCTTGCCAAGACCTTGCTACGGCAGCTGACAGCGAAGAACCGCGAGAATGCCCTGGTGTTGCAACAAAGCCCGGTGTCCCACTTTAGGCTGTCAGGCACCGCAGCTATAGACCGACCGCGAAAGTGTGGCTGCCCGGCTGGTTCGATGCTAAAAGTAGAAGGTATACCTTCCAAAGAGGACTTTGGAGAGGGCAAATCGTCGAAATTGCTGAATCATTGCTTTGGAGAAGATAGCATGGACCCACGTAGATTCTGCCAGCTTGTTTGCAAAATGGTCCATTTTTCTGAAAATGGTCGGAATTGTTCCGTATTTAACATATACACCTACGATTCTATACACTTGTCCGACTTGTTTAGAATTCTATTAGGCTGATCTGGTGAAAGGTCCAGCGAACTGCGCTGATTAGTGCCACGAATATCGATCCGACGAGGAATCCCTCCATTCAGCAGGATCATCCAATTCAACGCAATTTGATCATCCAATGTGGCCCTTTAATTACAAGGCGATAGCAAGTTCGCTTTCAGAAAAGACTCGACACACTCCTCTTCCAGCGCCTCGTTGCGCCGTGGCGGCAGTGGTGGCGAGTGCCTACCGTGCCTACCGTGCCCAGTCTCACCGAGTGACGTCCACGTCCTCAGGCGGCTTGCGGCAGTTGGTGATCTTCCTCGAGCTGGGAACCCGGGGCTGGGCGGAGGTATTTGGGCCGCTTAGACGGCTGGAAAGCCCATCATTGATTTGTTTGGCATGATGTGGGTGTAGAAACCCCAAACTCGGAAGGCCCATGATGATTGGTTTCTTATTATATGGATTATTTTGCCTAGATCTGTTCAGGAGCCGGAATCACAAATGAAGGTCGGAGGATCGTTAAATCCAAAAGCCAAAGACACATTTAGCAAATCGCCAAAGAAGTTTGCTGGCCTCACCCTGGAGCCTGGCATCTATACATCCAAATCTTTATGTGAGAGAACTAGTTCATTCAAATGATCCAAAACCACATAAGAGACAGTATATTTGAGCTAAGTACCAAATAAATGCCGTCGCACATATAGTAAGACCCAAAAGCGATACCTTCACAACTTCACAAGGTACACTTCAATCATTTGATCCAATCTACATGATTCTACATGTAATGTTTATATATATATATTCCGAGCAGGTAATTAGTTGGATCCGCCCTGAAACCCATCTGAAATATCCCAAGCACCCAAAGAGTAGGTGGAAATTGGGAATACAACTCTCTTAAAGATCAAACCGAGATCACGTTCACCTTCACCCTCACGAGGCACCGCCCCTCCGACTGCCACCCACACCAAGCCAGGTTTGGTGGCTTTGATCCCATCGGAGGCTGGGCCTGGCATCCAGCTGAGTTTGAGTGCTGGCCACAGCAGGTTGCAGGAAATCTGATACATGTTTCCTCGCAAGACAGAATTGTCAGCAACACATGCACACATATGTCCATTTGAGCAACTAGATGTTGGGCTTCAAGATTTTGTTGCATTGGACTGACCAAGACGTATCTTTCAGCTCCTTGATTCCCATGCCAGCCTATTTTTGAGGGTTTTGAGGTATGTTTTGCACACTTATTTATATTCCAACATCCCCCTAGATGATTGTTTTGTTTCGTGTTTTTTTTGTGAAGTCACCAGACCGCTACAGAAAGGCTTACACACCGCTCGAACGTGCTTTTTCAAATCCGAGACTGGACTGCAGTCGATCTCCTTGGGGGTCTCGTTGGAGCCACGACCGGTCAGGATACCCACCACGACCGGGCACCGGAGTTGTCGGTCACATGGATGGACTGGTCGGGCAGGGGTCACGACCCATCGCCACCATGCCCGCCTTCACATGTTCACCGAGTAGCTCCTCCAAGGGTGCTCCGCTTTTGCCAGGAAATCCGGCTGATGCAAGTGCATGGAAGGACTGCGCCATGAGTTTCGGAACTCGAGACCCGGAATTGGCTTAAGTGTTTTCCCTGAAAACTGGAACCCCCCCAAAAAAAAACACAAAAAATATAATATATATATATATATCGAAGATAAACAAACCGTAACAAACTCTCATAAGAAGGTTTTGAACACCACACACCACACACATACACACACCCGCGCCAAGGTGCCAGGCTTTAGTGCATGTTTTTTCTTTGTGCGTAGAGACCTTCATCGTGTTCCTACTCGTCCTTTCTGAATTACCACGACATAGCAGTGGCCCCACCTCGCACCGTCCCAAAACACTACCAATTTGAACCGGCTGGTCATCTGAAGACTTGGGAGGTGTGAAACAACGATCGAACATTACCAAACATGTGTGCGTGGTGTTATGTCATCCTGTCCTTTTGGCGTGCAGAGGCTGTAGCTGTGAACAGCCACTTCGTGGAGAGGCTGCCCACGTTGATCGCTCATGTTCTTTGTATGCCAATGAGCTGGTCTACAATGTTTGGATATTTTTGGCATCATTGATGTATTGCTACAGCCTTGGCCTGAAGCACAAGTCAAACTAGTATAGACCAATAGATTCAATAGATCCAGCAAAAATACTCAGCAAAGTGCTAAGGTGGGAACTCCGAAGAGTTGACTTCTCTATCATTGGGACATTTGGGTGGATTTTTCTTTGTAGCTCTCATCGACAGGTTGAAACCAAGCGTTTTTTTCGGTCGAACCACCGGAGACCCAGATGGATCCGCAGATGCATCCGCGATCCGCTCAGGAGGCCTTGTTGAGCTGCGTGGTGGCCAAAGATCTCCAGCTTGCGGCCTATGCGTGCGGCGCTGGGGGCCCCGGTGAGCATGGTGGCGGCCGTGGTGGTGGGGTCAACTTTATTTTGACGGAACCAGCCATGACCGTAGAAAAAGACATCAATGTCATTCAATGTTTCATATGTTTATTGTTTGGATGAATCATGTTTGGTGTATTTTGGTTTTGCCAGAGTTTCTTTTATCTTTTAACTTTCGAGCTCCAGATCAGATTTAGCTGATCGCGATCCATCTTGTCAAGGGCAACCGCTCAAACAGGGAGACCTTGCCCTTGGACTTGATTGGGCGATTTAGACCCAGCATGTAGCGAAAAAGACCGTTCTCACTTGACGAACAACACTGAGTCGGCACGTCTCTTTTTCAATGATCGCTTTGCACTGCCACGCCCACATAAACAAGGTGAATTCAGGATCTCCACAAATAGCATACATTGAACTAGTGGTCAGTGGCGAAGGCTGGAAGAACATCCCTGTTACTGTAGAGGAAAGTAATCTCTCCCATCACCCATTTGAAGTTTCCATGTTTGTTTCTGTAGAGGTCAGACCTTGAAGACGAATGCAGTCCTTCTCACAGATTGTGTTTTTTTTTCTCCATGTATACCACATATCTCTACAATTTTGCCTATAGTTTCTGCCTAGGATGCTGACATGACTTCTACCCAAGGGGGCCAGGTTCTACCAGACAGTGGAGCCATGTCAGACAGAGGAGCCATGTCGCTCGGGAGAGATTCGGTGTTCAAGACCAAGACCTCGGTCTCCGGTCGACCGATCGGGTTCGTGTTCGTCCGCCTGACGGACATGGATAACATATGGACATATGGCTTTGCATGGCTGTTTTGGTGGGTTTTGTTTTTCCCCGATGCCGCAGCCACCGTCCAAGTGGTGGATAGGTTGCGAACATGCCTTGGCCAAAGATAACAAAAGGGAAGCAACACAGACACACTTCCGGGGTGCACATATGCACAGTTGTTGAAACAAGGTGGAGGGAGAACATGCAGTGATCGAAAGCTTGTTGTCAGCACAATGCCCAGACATTCCATGACACTGGAATACATTTGCATAGCGCGACGCAGACATGAGCAAATTTTGTATCATCAACATATACTATACAAAGTGACAACATGGACAAAGTAAATGCCCTCCGAAACGCCAGCCTTGGGGACCTATCACTCCCTGCAAGATCACTGAGATAGTGAGGAACCTGCCATGGAAAGCAGTCAAAACTCCACTGCACCCTCCACGTTGGCCGAGTCTTTTGAGGCGTCTCAAAACTGTTCGGCGCCACTGTACTGCCTATCCAAAAGATCGTTCAACAAATGCAAACTTTAATGGAGAGTCATTTGGGAGTCCCTTGGACACCATGTGTTAGCTTTCAGACCCTGCAAGCACTGCAGTGGAGCCGGAACACGTCTTGCAACATATCGGTCCTGGGGAAAAAGCCGGAAGAATATGTACATGTTGAAGTCATCCAAAGGGTGTTGCACCGCCAAGGGCCATACACACGTTCGACTGCACTTTGGCCATGAGACTGCACTCCATTCTTTTGGCGTTGCTTGGAAATCCCACCTCCGTTCGAGCGGAAGACGGCTGGTGGTGCGCACCAGAGCCGGGGAAGTGCCACGGGCACCTGGAGCGGCTGGCGAAACGCGCGAGTGTCACTGGGCGAAAGTGGTGAAACCACGGCCGCGCGCCAGGCGGTACCCAGGCGGATTAACCAGGTTTTGGGGATTGAAATAGCAACGACCACAGTTGAAGAATTGGAAGAGTGGGCAAGTTCTCCTCGAGCAAACAAATCAACATGGGAAACCAGATTGCTAGGTCCTGATAGATATATCAATGGATTGTACAGGACTTCGGACAACCAATACATAGGTCATGATAGGTCAAGGTTCCTGGCACCCTCCACACAAACACAAGCAAGCACCCCTACACTGGTGATATACAACAACATATGCAGACAACAAAATACAATAAAGTGTAAGTTTGAAGGCCTCCATGAGCTTCTCTTTTGGGCGGTACGCTTGCAAATCCTTGCTTGGTCGGCACCTGACCTTGCAGTTTGTCTTTGACACAAAATAGAAACACAAGCGGCAAAAATACCAGTAAGCAAAGAAACAAGAAAAAGTATGTGTGAGGCCGGAGGGTGGCCTCAAAGACAAACATAACCAATAGAATGCACAGAGTAAAACAATTCCTGAGACTGGCAGGAGGGGTCTCCGAGGAGTCAATATATAGAAATGTTGTTTGTTGTGCTTTGTCTAGAAGAGTTTGTGTAAAACCTCTCAGCTGAAGCCTTTGGCAGTGCCCTTGCAAGTACTGAGGCTAACTCTTTATGCCAATCAGATCGATTTCCAGTGCACTGCCACGGCCCTTCTGAACAGAAACATCTTCTAGCCATGTTGATATTTCCCATTCAAACAGAAACGGCTCCAGAAACGCCTCCGTCCGTCTGCTCTTCCCAAACCGCCGTAGCCCTTTTGGTCGAAAACCTCGTCCGGACCGGCACACGAGGTGCGGATGGCTGCGAAGCTGGCAGCACCGTATGTGGTCGACTGGGATGGCCACTGAGATGGCACGCTTCTTCGGGGCCCGCCCACCTGGGTGAGTTCTAATTGGCATCCTGATGGATTTTGGGGGTGTTGGTGACTGACAAGTGGTGTCCGAGCCTGAGCGAGAGTGAATTGCGAAGAACCGTGCCACTGGAGTCAGGTTCGAACACAGACGACTCGGACTGGTCGGCCTCGTGTCCACTTGGAGGAGTTCGATCGACTAAGACTCTCTAAGGTATCCTTGGATTGAACAGTCTACACTCCCTGAAGTAATATGAAGTGATCATGGAAGTGCAAAAGCAGCTGCTGGTGGAGGATTTCATAGGTCATCCAAGAGGCCATGTCATCCACTTCCATGATTTGACTGCTGGTTTTCCGCTTCCATGATTAGATTATTCAATATATTTCAAGGAGTGTATACTTGTTGGGTGAAGGGCCGGTCGTCAAAGTGTATCGCATTGGCTCCAGACTCCAGCTATGAACACGTCCCCTTGGGAGTTATGTCAAGCTATGAAAACGTAAAGGCAAACGTATGCAAATTGACCACCACCGGTTGAGAAAAAGAGTTTGTCCGTGTTCTTCATACTTTACCTTTTTGACCAACACAAGGACGCTATGAGAGTGCTGTTGCGGCCCCCAGCCAAGAGATAGAATACAGCTATACAACGATGCTCACCTCTGAAGATGGCAACGAGTCGTCGCCAAAGGATCGGCATCGACACACATGTGCCCCTGGGCCGTCACACCATCCCATTCATCCAATCGATCACAGGATTTATCCTCCAAAACCGTCTCATAGAGTCAGGAAACCAGGTGTTTCCTTGAAACAAATTACCATAATGTGGTCAATATGTTTGTAGCCTAAACAAGATTGCACTAAATATTCAGTAAATATTCAGTTCATTTCAGTTCTAAGGTTTACCCCCTGAAAGAGTAAGATTGAATTTGACCACTTTGGGTTCCATGTTGATCAGCATTGGAGTAAATGTTCTCGTCACCCAGTCCAACAAGTTGGTCCCGCATCCCTCTCTTAGCCCAAAAGGTGTCCAGCGTCTACCGGAGTTTACATCAGGAGCTGCAACATGCACTCATGAAGCAGCTCAACAGTGTGGAAACCACCATACTTGTATACTTGACTGATCCTTTCAAAATGGATCCAACGCCGAACCCCCCACAACAAAAACGAAAACAGCCGCTACCCGCCTCCACAGACCCGGGAGCCACGAGGCGATGGAGTGGAAGATCTGCTCATGGGCGATCACAACGGCCTGGTGCGCTACTACTCCAAGCACCCCAACGGCCGCTACTACGTGCGCACTGGGAGCAGCATGGCAGCCGGGTGGTGGTGTTTTGGGATGGGTTTGGTGGCGACTGGGAGCTTCTCCTGATTAAAACAAAAACAACATATTCCAGGTTATACTGACAGGTATGTTTTGTTAAGTTGCCCGTGTAGTCGTCTGAATGTTTTGAGGTGAAGCTAGATTAATTATACATCTCCATTGTTCCATGGTTTAAAACAGAATTTCACAAGTCAAAGAGATTGGAGAGATGGTACCATGAGTGGATTTCAATCGGTGTCCACTCCCTTCAGATGACGCCCCTGGCGGGCCTGGCACGGATTGTCCAGGTCTAGTCTATACTGGACCCAGTGAAAGATAGTAGCCATCGCCGGTTCTGCCCCCTGTTTTTGTTTCCTAGAATAGGGAACCCCCCAAAGTCCCACTTTGCCCAATGACAAATCGACCAAACCCATTCTTTCAGACGTCTTTGGAGGGTCTCCGAGTCTTCGCGCCCAAACGACCAATAAAACTGAGATGCGAAACTCTAGCACCCAGGTTTAGCATGCAGAAACTCTAGCCACCTCCCTGCCGTTGGGTTTCGCTGCAGGTGACAATCCCTTCCGCAGCTTGGCCGATGGGACCGATGTACCGAAGGGTGGCCGATGGGGTGGCCGATGGGAAGGTTCCAATGGTCCAAGGCCGTTTCGGTGATGTGGTTTGGTCACTTTCTTTTGAGACTATGTTGGAAGCTCCATGTCTAAGGTAGTGTAGAGGATCTATGAAAACATATAGATACATGGTGAAAGGTGTACAACTATTAGGCAAATCGAAAGTTGTGCCACCAAGTTTTAAGGTTTGAGCTTCAACAGTCATGCAATTCAGGATGTTTCATGCCTTCATCTCCCCAGATTCATCTCAAAACCTGGAGAAGCTCCTGGCCGTTGGCGCTGATCAACCCCCCTGCAGGCTTCATCGCGCCGGAGAAGGGCCTGACGAACTTGTCGGCCGCCAGCCCGGTGGCGGTGGACTTCGACCAGGACGGCACCCTAGACTTGTCCCTTGGATTATGTAGGTCGCAGTCAAACAGCATGATTTGCTTTTGGCCACCAACGGATCGCTGGCAGAACGTAAAGAAGGTGATGTACATCCAAGCCATAGTCACCCATTTGGTTGCTCTTGTTCTGTGAGGATGTGAAACAGTGAGATGTGGAAGGGTGGATCAAACAGTCTTCCTGCACCACCACCTAAGTCAATTGCCGAATGTTCCATTGCCATGCTCCCAGAGGATGTTGTACATCACACCATTTTTGGGTTTCTAATGATGCATTTGCAATCATTTGCATATGAAATCCATTACAGTGTGTTGTTTCGCAGCAACTTTGAACCATCGAAACACATCAAATCACCCTTTTCAGACAACATGATGTGGTGTTGATATATATATATATATATACGTGTTCGTACGCCTCGTCATGCCTCGTCCCTCCGGCGCCGTCGTCGCCACGGAGCCGACGGGTTGATAGAGGGGATACCTTCAAGTGTACAGCCTTGTACAGCCAATGGATAGACTGGTCATGACGGGTCGATTTACCGAACCGAACCCCGGTCCCTCCAAATGCCTACAGTAGGTGTCGGTCTCCCGAGCTCAAAGAGCTACACACGGGTCCCGAAATCGATGGGCAAACCGACCTCTCGAGTCCGGTTCGGACGGAAGAATCAGGTTGCTGGCTGTCGCGGGGCGGATCCATTACTACCGCCAGTCGGAGGCCGGGGTGTGCTGGGGGCTGCGGTGTGGCTTGGGCCGGGGATGTGCCCAAGCGGGGGCCGGTGATTGGCGTTGCACGGGTGAACGATCAGAACATCGATCACTGCACGACCTGACTGTAGAGATCTGTGGAGCCTTTGCGCGTCCTACTGACATGGCACCAGTCTAAAGTGTTGGTTATTGGAGCGTTCGGGCAGATTGGCTGCTGAGGGTTCAGGATCCAATTGCCCTTTTGCAAAGTAGTCTTAGCATGTCTTGCGGGTCCAGGAGTTCCGCCGTGTTTGGTTCTGGCCAGAAGATTTGAACCATCCAAGCTCGGCTGCTGGATGGACGTCAGGAAACACTCTCGGACGCCTGGAGTTTGAACGGACTATCACAGTGGAGCCACCAGCCACCTGAAATGGGGATGAGATTTGAACACTCGGTTAAGCACACAAGTGGCCACAATAAACGTGGCCGTGGCCGACGGTATGTTATTTCTATCTCTATCTATCCGGAGGTATTTGGATTTCTCCAAGCTGCAAATTCACAGGATGGCATTGGACCTCTTTGGGCAAGGGAAGGGTGATCCAATCCTCTAAAGACTGCAGACAATGTAATTGCGCTGATTGCAAATTGGTCGAAGTACAGTAGTCCTTCATTCATGTAGGATAATATGAACTACCCCCAGCTGTGCAAAACCATTTGCAATCAATATTTCTTTCCAAGGGATCCATATACTTTCTGCACTTAACTACCTACCTACCTACTTACCTTACCCTACCGGCTCTTACCAAGATTCCCAAGCACCAAAACCTGTGAAAACCGCTGCATCCCTCTTCCTTTCCGCCCGCCCTGGCTCCCTCGGTTCTTTCGCGGACCCGTCCAGAGGATGGCACCCTGGCAGAAGTGGAGGCCGCTCGGAGTCCCTTTCGCAACGTCACCTGCAGCTGGGCGTTCTGCCGTTTTCACGCCGCAGATTGGGAGCCTCGGTTGGGAGGGAGAGCTTTGCGGGAGGTCATGCCTCAGCGGCTGGCATGACGAAAGATTTGATGGTATTGCACATTGAGTCGAGGAGAAGCTACCAATTGTACGAAATAAAGGGCAAGCTAAACATCCATATATGGTTTCAGAGTGGTTCTGCAATCAAAGATGGCTGGGCCATCAAGGCCATCAAGGTCTTTTGGGCATGGGTCAGACTCTAGTTATGTTCAATATCTACAACCTTAGGACATAATTCAGGGTAGGGGTATATAGATGATTCCCTCTAAGGTTAAGTGTAGCATGTTACTTTTTGTTTGTTTCGGTCTGACGGGCAGTTCCGTTTTCGCCATCGTTGTCGGCCTTTGGTCAGGATGCGGACGGGGACATCGACTTGGTGGTGCCCGCCGGACAGGGCTTGGCGTATCTGGAGAACGTGGAAGGTGAGCTGGTGCCCAGGCACGAACTTCCGGTGCAAACAGATGTGTTACTGATGTTCTGTTCTTCAATTTCAGATTTGGGCGTTATTTGTTGTAGAGCCCCCCCAAAAGCGTTTTTGTTTTGTTTTCATTTGTATATAAATTGTGTTTTTGTGCCTTCCAGCTTCGACAGGACGGGTGCGGAGAATCCCTTCCGTTACTTCTCCGGTGGCTACGTGGCCTCTCGACTTGGGACGGGCTGAGGGCTGCAGGCCAAAGTAACTGTCTTTGCCTACGTTTCTTGGTTCCCGAAGGTCGCATCATGTCGCATCAAACAGCCAGAAGAGTGCTGGGCCCCTGGGCTGGGCATGCGTGCGATCGCCTCTCATCCCATGAGTATATTGGTGACGATCGCAGAAGAATCGGATGCAGGAGATGAAGAGCTTCTAAAAGCATGGTGCAGACCTGGCATAGAAACCTGACGGATGCCTTCATGGATGCCGGCGAGACGCCTGAGTCAGCTCCTTTAAAAGAAGTGGAAAGAGCATGTCCCCAAGTGGAAGGCCATGCAGAGGGCTAGAATGTGAGTCAATAAGGAAGAGCCGCGAAGCTTTATGGCGTTTTGCTTGTTTTGAGCCTTGGTATGTTTTGTGCCAAATATGCTTCGCATGCCACCATTGGAACATCCATTCTCAGCCGAGAGTCAAGCGTAGCTCGGCACCTTCAAGGTTAAGCATTCACAAATTCTATACCACGCTTCTTCACACATGAAGAGGCCGGCTTGAAGCGTTTGAAGAGCTCAGTGCACACTTCAAACAATCCACATATATCCACATGGGAGGGACCTCTGCCGCATCCTGACCGATTGGGCCCCGCTCGTCGGGTTCCGGGCTCCTCAAGGTTATCCACCGACTGACTCGTTTTAGACGTTTTGGCGGAGCTACGGTGGCGGCTCCTGACTCGGCCGCACTTGGCAGTTACAATGGACAGCGGTGGCAGACTCAGGTCTTCTTTGGCTTGATTCATGAAAGCAAGCTGGGGTGGAAGGCATTTCCGCCGTAATGCAGTCAGGTTTGGTGGTCAGGTGGTGTATGGAGCAGAAACAAAGAGTGAATTCATGACCATCACCAAAAGTCACAGTGAAAGAATGTTTGTGGGTTTTATGGTGCCAAAAGTAAAATTTGGCTGTGCAAAAGCTGAATACTGAAAGCAATTCGCATTGACGTTCTCTCTCTCTCTGCTTGCATCAAACCTTTCACTTTCATTTGGGCAATTTTTTACCCGTCGAAACTCTCTGGTCTTTGGCTGCCAGGAGAACTCGCTGTTTGTTTTACTGAAGACAAAATCGCCTCTCACAAGAGGCATAGTATCAATTGCTGCTGAATTCTGTGTGTGTGTGTGTGTCGCAGCTGCGTCTCATATTTCCTGGCGTAGTGGCGCTAGGTATGATTCAAATATTCAACTATGTTCAACACTTGCAGCATACCCTCCCTCCAACAATCATAGAAGCTGACCAGGATCCCCTTGTAATTGTAGAGGAACATGGTCTTCCAGACTTCCAGGGGCCTACTTTCCACTCCCATGATCCTGAAAGAGTTTATCGGTTTATCTCTTAAATCCACCCACAAGCCCTCCACCCACAACCCAGATTCAATTGATCAACTGGACCTGCGGTTGACTGTATGTTTTTAAATGTTTTTAAGGCTCTTTGATTTTTCAAGCTGAGACAGAAAATTCAAAGCTCATGGTTCCTGATAAAAGTATTGGTTGGTGAACAGACTGAATGAAAGTCATCTACAGTGCCTCTAAAACCCTCTGCAATGCGCATGACGTTCTTCTACCCCCATCCTGCCACCTGTGGATCCGCGTTACGCGGCAGCTGCAGCTGGCCGGGGGTGGTCCGCGCCCGGGACCGGGACCGTTGGTTCCTGTTCCAAGCACAACCTGACCAACGATCTGTTGTACCGCTGCAACACCCTGAGCTCACTCGTTTGTGCGTGAACCCGAGCCGGAGAGCAAGGATGCCCTCCCTATGAAGTCTTCTGCCATTGCTCAGCCAAAAGCCAAGCTGTTGACGGGGGGGGTCCACCCCTGTTCAACATTAGGGAAGCATCAAGAAGCAAATGATGGAAATAATGTAACCTTGGCTTGAAGATCCATAGGGGCCTGTTGGACTCCAGGGCACTGGCCATTTTTGCCAGCTTGCTGTAACAGAAAAGGCATTGCTGGCCACTCTCCACGAACTTCTCCCCTGTGGTTTTTTCATAGGGTTCCGGAAAACTTTATGGGAAAAGCGTGAGAGGATGCCAGGGCTCGTGACTGGCGCGAAAGCTAGTCGAGATAACCAAACAATGAAAGTTGCAATTGCTGTAGGGCGAGGATCCAGCCAAAGATCACTGTCATAAGAAGCCTGCATGCAATCCCTTACTGATTGACAAGAAAGTTGGATGTAAAACCAAACGTTGTGTTTGGGGACCGTGTCTTGGTAAACCTCACACATGTACAAATTGAACTCCAAGATCTTGGCTGTATCGGATGCTTTGCTCCAGGTTCCTGTAGGATACGTGGTTGTTTGATCCATGTAGTTCAACAGAGGTTGGTTGAAACTGTTTGTGTGCGAGCTGATGTGGAACATTGCTTCCAAGTGCACCAAGCGGAGTTTGACGTCTGTAGCTAAATCCACGTTGCTCCCACCAAAACACCTGGTCTAGCATGTACACTAGAAAACTGGCCCTATGGTCCTGGCCAAAGCCAGCAAGGTAGACATGAAAAAGGTCCCGGCAGCAAAAGAGCTTGTTTTGCTGGTGCTCGAACCTAAGAGAATGAGACCAAGCCAAAGGCCCAATGTCACGCTCCATCTCTTGCCTCCATGCTGGGGAAAGTGTGTGAACCTCCTCAAAAGCAAAGTTGACATCCCCGGCCAGGCACAGCCAGCAGCACTATAATCAATGTCTGCGCCCCTTTCCTGAGCTCCAAAGGAGCCTTGCGGCACGTGCTGTACCACCGAGTGAATTTTCCTGCTAGTGCTTGGAACTTCAAGTCGGCCTTCAAGCCACTAAGCACCAGCCGCAAACGAACATCTTGAGTCTCAACACTAAAGAACTCGCGCAAGTCTCACGGCAAATTCTGTCAGCTTGGAAACGGCTATCATCTTAGCTGGCATGACAGAGTACATGTAGTGGGTCGCAAACGAATGGCCCAACAAACTGATATTATTTTACTCTTTGAGTTGAAACTGCCAACTGAACGGTCCTTGGCATTCGCCTGCCCACAGCACGCACCTGAGGACTGAACCCCAGTTAAACGCCAGGAGCTCGATCGATGCCGTCACCCACGCCCGCCGAGCGTAGATCGGAAGACGCAAAGACCTGTGTTCAACGTCCGGATGCTGCCTTTTGAAGCGGTCCCAAAACTGCGCCGACATCGGCCGTGCTTCTGAAATTCACCTCAGAGCCTTTTGATGCACTCCATTTTGGCCATGTACTGTCCACTCCATTTATGATGTCCTCGACTCGCACAGACTCAGGTGGTTTTGGGCCTTCTGGCACTTGTCCTGCTCCTGGGAAAGCCTCACTCTTTGCGACCATGTACGCCTTCAAGAGATTCAACATCTTGACTTCAAGGGGTCAAGGCACGGAGCAAAAGCAAAGAACAACATTGTTTCATACAGACAAAGCTCGCAGGTGGTGGCATGGGTGGGGACATCGGAACGAATCCGCGAGATCAATTTTGCGCTGACCAAGGCATAGCCTGACGATTGAATTCCTTCAGGGCATTCTCATAGATGGTGTTTCTCATCAAAACTTAAGGGCCATTTGCTGCACACCGACCTCGATGGGGTCTGCTGCACACCGACCTCGACTGCGCATATCCGTTGCAAGCGAGCGCCAGGTAAGCACAGGATCATGGTAGACCAAGCTCCAAAGCGGGTTGGAAGTTGGAAGGAAAATCTTGTCCTCCTTGCAAATTTCCGAGAGCTAAGACCAAAGCGAGCTTTGACGAAAGACGCTTGCAGAACATAGTGATGTCATCAAAAGACTTCCCAATGAAAGGCTATCACCAAAGCAGTGGACAAAGAATCGGTTTTGAAGAGCGTACCCTGTAGCAGGCTAGACATAGATTGATTTACAGGTTCCACTGAGAAGAGATTTGCTTCATAGACGTACCTAGTGAGAACCCCTTGTCGGAGGTAGCCGCGCAGCGGATGCTGCTGAACTTTCTGTCTTTTCTCACCCGCCTGTGCTTGGTTGTGTATGATAAATCTCCATCCGGGATCTATCATTCAACTGTTTTGATTGTGATATGTGATGAGCATGTGATTTGCTCATGTCCGGTATTATGTTTCAATCCCATCTCACATGCAGCTTGCCACTGGAGTTCAAACATGTTTGGTGTTGCGCCTGTTTTGGCGCAAAACACAGGAAGATGCATTTTACCCATTACGCGCCCTAGAAAGAACCCCTAACTTCCTTTCCATCGGTCTTTTCTGCGCATTTCAGGGAAGTAACCTTTGCTACAGTAGTACCTTTGGCTTACAAGCTATACCCAGTCAGCGCTTAACCTGTTACCTTCTTTGCGGGGCAGGTTTCCTTACTGGAGCTTTGCTTGGCCAATCGATCCTGCGCGTGGTGGGGTTCCAGCGATGATCACTCCGATGGTGTGAACCACTAAAACCATGTGGAACCCATCCTGAGGAAACGTCGTTTGTGAGGCCAATCACCGTGGCTGGGATGGGCTTTACTCATCACCCTTCATGGTGGATTGGGATGGAGATGGAGATCTGGACCTCCTGGTGGGTACAGCTGTGCCTTGGATCCACCAGAGTGACCCAGGTGAGCCACATCAAATTGAATCACATGACCATCCATCTAGGCTAGGCAAATGTGACCAACGTTCTCCAACAAAATCAGTTCCTCAAAAGCATGGATTCTTTGGCCAAGCAGCTTTCGTGTAGTGCTTGCTGCATCTTCCTGCAAAGGGCGACAAGTTGGTAAAGTCAGTGTTCAACTGATGATGGGCCACGCGTTTGGATTCAATTTTGGGATTGCTGGGCCATATGTCTATTTCACCCTCCAAAACTTGTACTTGTGGCTTAGATCCGAAGACGTGGTTCTTCTTTAGGGCTTGAACCAGGGGTGAACTCTTGCCTTTCCCCCGGGTTCGGTTCTGACCTCTGTCAGCCCATGGACCCAGACACGATCACATTGAGCAGGAGGGTAGCGTGCTGTATTTCGAGCGGACGGCCTCTGGACGCATTGTGCAGCTGCAGGGAGAGCAAAGCCCCTTCCAAAGTGCTGCTCAGATGAACGGAAATGGGCACGCAAGACGGGGAAACTCATGCGTGGCTTGGGATTCCCGAGTAGCCATTGAAAGACACTGCGCCCATAAAACAAGTGTGGGAAACCAATAAACTAAGTGTCTCTTTAATTAAACATATAACTTTCTTAGGTGGAAGGGATTAACATCGATCCATGACATCCATGACGTGTTTCTTTTGTAGTGTTGCATTGTATTTCGTTGTTTTTGTGTTTTTGTTTGAAGATCTTGTTGTGGTGGTGCTTGTTTAGTTGCGGCTGTGGCGGTTGTCGCCGCTGTGCACCACTACTCGCCGAGCCTCAGTCGAAAGAAATAGGAACACTGATGTGTTTGTGGATGAAAAAAGTCTCATTCGTTTCATGTCAGTTGTTGTTTTCCAGGGTTTGCTAACCCGACTTTTCAATTGTTCGTTTGCATTAGGCAGCGGAACAAGAAAGCGGAGGGCAAAGGAGTGATAGCGGATAACGCGACACGGATTCACAGGCGTGATGCGTGAGGATTTGTGTGAGTGTCAGAAGTTGCGCGTGAAAAATCTAAGTTCATCGGCTTAGCGCGTAGCACAGCAGTTGTTCGCGCACCAATGACTTCAATCTGGAGATCGAGACGTTTTTTGAGCTTGCAAGGATTGGTTTACATGTTGAGCTGGTGCAAGTGAAGGTGTTACGGGTTGAGTTGGTGCTTCGTGGCGAGCTGGCGTGAGTTGAGTTGGTGTGAGTTGAACTATGTTGATATGTTGTGAGTTGAGAGGAGCGGTGGCGACCAAGCCCAGACCCAAGTTGATATGCAGGCCCCCCAGCGAGGGTGCAACAGGAAGCGTCGGTTTTTCGCCGGTGGCGCCCAAGCCTCGACCCCCTGGAGATAGTGTCGTCGGTGAGTTGGCGTCAGTTGGACTCGTTGGGGTCGATTCCGCGTGAGTCGAGTCGAGTTGGCCGGAGGAGGCGGGAGGCAGAGGAGCGGGAGAAAGAGGGAAGCGCACGTGGCTGTAGCAATCCCTTCCACATAAAATCCACCCCCCGCAATATTCAAAAAACTCGGGTGCGTTTTTGTTGCCAAAAATAGGGTCAGTGGGAGGATCCTTTTGAATAATCATTGATTAGAAAAGATGGAAACCGGGCAAGAGCTTTAAAAGCGAAAAGTTGCCTAGGAAAGTCTCATATAAAATCCTTTTTAAAACTCGTATCAAAAATTAAAACCTCCAGATCGAAGGGTCCTTCTTTGGTCCTTTTCCCTTTGCAAAAGCCTCAGTTATAGTGATTCTTCATTAAACTAACAACAAAAGCTTTCAAAAGGTGATGTCAACCTGCTGCGCCATTTGGTTTTGCAGGAGGGACAACCTGCTGGGGTAAACTCGGCGTGTCATGGTGGACAGACAGGGTGGACTGAGGTGAGGCTATTAGGGTTCCTTCTGAGACCACATGAAAATACCACAAAGCAGGCCATGTTGGTAGTTTTGTAGCAATTTAGAAACAAGCCGTATTTAGGGGTCTCCGATATAATTCATATCGGAGAGCGTTTTAATAGGTCTTCGAGGTTCTTGCAAAGAAATGTCGAACAAATAAACAGAACCCCAGAACAAACGACCAAGTGCTTCTGTCGTTACATGTGTCGTTTGTTTTTCCTTGCCTTGATAGACCTCAACAAGACCTGATACTATCGATCTGGCTTCTGGAAGTCTAATTTTTTTTGTTCTATGCTGACCACTCTCATTCTTGAAACGTTTCTTCCGTAACTGTGGTATTCTTTCGCAACTGCTCTCCTGCCACTAAACTTCAGCACCGTTTTGTTTGGCGTTGGAAAGTCTGCCGTGACCTTGTCCGTATCTTGTCCAACTACTTTCTGGCAATTTTTCGCAACTGTCTCGTTATATACACAAATGAGCTCTTTGATTTATTGTATGTATGTGTATTGTAATTCATTTTCTAACAAATCAATCCTTTGCGTCCTTTGCTAACACATCAACCCTTTGCCAACAAATCAATCAATGCATCATTTACTACAGAATCTCAGAAGTAAATGTAGAACAAATTCTGCAAGGACCTGTTTGGTTCAACACATGTGTCTCTTTAGAATCAATTATTAGTTGTTGCGAAACAGTTTTCTATGAACTTCAGATATTCTATGAACCATATAGGCTATGGGGATGATTTTGAACGCGTTGTTTCTTTGCAGTTTTCCAATTTGTATGTATGCTTCAACTTGCATGTTTGCTCAATGCAAATGATTCAAAATCTGCATCTACTATTTAATGGCGCGTTATGTGTTTATTGTCTCTTGTGGTTTACTACAGGGGGGCCGAAAAGCACGCGCGCCCATATATATATACACATGTGTTTTTTTGTTCACAATATTTGGTAATTCCTGCGGAGTCTTCAGAAACTCTTTTTTCGGGTATTCTTTTCTTCAGAAATTAACCAAAAAAGGAAACTTGAAAATACCTTCAAGATCTCTGCCCAGTTTCCAAATATCACCGTCCAGCCACCACTGGACAGTTTCCGAAGAAGACCGTAAAGTTACCAACATAATCAAGTTCAACGAAAACTGTGAAGTTACCCAACAACAAAACCCGAGAAGAGCACCGGGGAAACTATTGTTTCCCTTTTGGTTGCCGAATGGAACCTCAACCAAGCCAACAGATTCGATTGTGTTCCGCCTCCTCTCTCACCGAACTCACGGGAGGATTGTCCAATCGACGGGCAAGTGCCAGAGCGCAGGGGGCGCTGCCGCACCTCAACTGCACTACCGGGCCTCAACTGCAAGCGCCAGATCGCAGAGGGCATGTATACCAGACGTCAACGGCAAGTGCCAGATCGGTGTGGGCTATCGGACCTCAACTGCAAGTGCCAGATCGCAGTGGCACTACCGGACCCAGGTCGCAGCTTTGTGCTGGACCTCAACCGCAAGCGCCAGATCGCAGTGGGCACTGTGGGACCTCAACACACAGTACACAACCAAAGAGCACAACCACACAAACGCACAATACACAATACGCAACAAACAAAACTAACGGACCTGCTACAAACACAATTACAAACACGACTAAAAACACAATTATACTGTATAATGTACAAACACAACCACAAACGAAGACAAAACACACATTCACAAACACAGTCACAAACACACACAAGACACAACCAACCAAACACAACCACACATGCAAACACAAAACACCAACACAACACACAACCAACGAACACAATCACAAAAACCACACTACCGCTATTGAATCACTGTGTTTGACTGTTCGTTGCCCACCATGTCATGAAAACAAATGATTGAGATGCCATGGTGGGGACCACTCGAAGTAAAGTAGTTTTCAAGCTGGCATGCGTGTATTTAAGGTGTAGGAAAGTGAACTGCATCATAACCCGCGAAGGCCATTCTCACAGTTTTGCGCATGCCCGACTGCATGCGAAACCGCGTCGCGTAGGCCCCACAATTTATTTTTTGCAAGAGCAATTTGCGTATGCAAAAAATCCCTTGTAGCTGATTTATTTCTTGCAGTGATGAGTATCCTTTGCAGTTGCGACATTGTTCATTTCATTTGTGCAAAGCAAAAAGGGTTGGCAAAAAACGTGTCGCAAAGGCACCACATAACACACGTTTAGACATGAAGGCACCCTTTGCACTAAAGAATATGTCTTGCGAAGGCTTGCGAAAGCACATGCGAAGGTATGATTCCAGTTTTTTTGTTCCGTAGTTACAACAGAAACACTGCCCAGGTGGGGACACATTACTATCCCTCAGTCCATGCGGCCTTCCGCAGCGGCCACCCTCGGATGGAACTCTTTATCGGTGATGTGGATGGGAAGGTGCGACGCCATAAATGCCACAGGTCGACATGTGGACACCATTGTGTCACTGTCATGTCCAGAATGGTGACGGGGGGCCCTGGCCCTATTGTGGTTCCCAGATTCTTAGAAACACATGTCAATGAGTTCCGGGATTGATTTGAATTCATATGACAATGTGTTTTTTCTAACTCAGGATTGTTTGTCTTGTAAACTTCATGTTGAACACCTAAAACAACAATGAACACGGTTGAGTTTTGGAGTTCTGATTGAGGATTAATCGCATGCAGTAAACGTGATGTTTTTTCCTACAGCACTGACTATTTTGGGTTTTCATGTGGTTAGAACCTGCCTCACTCCACTATCCACTTCGCCTCGTAAATACTATATATGTTTCAAACAACAGCCAGAAACACATACATGCAATATGAAATGTGTCTGTGTACATGGTTCTGCAAATTTATCATGAAAAAAACCACCCAACACACACATGCACACATCTGCAAATTCCACTGATGTGCCTTTTGAGAGCTTTCGGGTATAGCAAACCAGACACATGAAAGAGAAAGTCACTCTGTACCCTGATGGGTTTTGTTGGAGACACTTCTCCGACCTCGCAGGTGACCCTCTATGCGCGCGAACAAAATCGATCCTTGTCGTCCGAGTGTTTGGCGCGGCCCTGTGCATGGCCCTGTGTGAAGCGGTTGGCCCTTCGCGGTTTGCATGGAATTCCAAGGCATGAACGTACTCACAAATTAAGGAAGACACAATGTTAGTTCGTTCTTTGGTGGTTTGGTTCCTGCAAAATCTCTGGACCAAAATTCGCGTGAGCAGCCCTCAGCCTTGAACAAAGCGGTGATCCACAGGAGCTTAGCTACGTTTGTTCAAGGCTTCATTGTGCTTTTTGAGCCACAAAAAGGTGCGATATCCCAGTGATTTCCAAATGTACGAGTTGTCAGCAGAAAACACCTGTTTGGACGTCTAGGTATGTTCTTTCTCAAGTGCTCAAGCCAAATGATCCATTTGTCCTGTTCCAGCTACTGTGCGGATCGTTTCTTCACGATTGCTGCGGTAGGAATTTAAGATTCTCCGTTTGTGTGACTCACTGTTCAATTTTTTGTTGGAGGAACCATACAACATCTATGAGCACTGAACTGTGCGAAGAGACTTGCGAATCGTTGCATCCAGCACTGTAGTCGGTGAGGGGAGGAAGCTTTCATCGTAGTCTGGTAGGTCACAGGTTGGGACCACTGTCAGGTTTGGACCCATCATGTGTTTATTCATGCCGTGACACACCCCACCCCACCCTGGTACTTGTGGGAATTTAGCAGTAAACCATGGGTTTGTGTGTCTATCAGCCACAGACAGCGAAGATCTATTTGCAGACTATCATGGACCCTGAAATTTCCTCAGTGGAAGACCATTTTCCTCCACAGCCCTATGGTTTTGAGAGTCTATCTTAATCTGTCCAGGAGGGTACCTGGGATTTCTGGGCTGTGCCTTCAAAACTGATGGTCCGACCCTCCGGACTTCGTTCTCGCTTTGCTTTATTCGGGGCGTGACGCCGACCCGTCTCAGAACATTTGACACCGCAATTGGGCGCCTCCAATCCCTTCTATGCCTTGGGTCTTCTGACCTCAGCGGTGCCAGCCTGGCCTTTGATCGATGAGATGCTCGGCTCCATGATTGGATCGGTGAGAAAGAAGATGGTACAACTGTTGAGGAAGGAGCTCGTGAAAAGCTGGCTGCCAGACGTATGTCAACTGCCACAGAACTTGACTTTTGGGGGTCGTTGGGGTTTTCAATTGACAATCAACTATTGCCCAACATCAACCTACAAAGCGTGCCGGCACCCCTTCATGAAGGCTCCATACCATTAATCCCTGACCCAAAATGAAGCTAAGCGTTCTTTGTCCTTGTGGCTTCACACCAGCGCAACCAACTCTAAACAGATCTTTGCAAACATATAATATCTTATCAAAGATCAATGTGAAGTCAAATCAAAAACAACTAAAAAACAGATATCCCCCCCGGCTCAGGCCGGCCGATGGCACAAGAATCAGCAATACTAAATGAATCTAAAGGCTTTCCGAAAGGACAATTATAGCTATATGAGTCCTTTCATTTCCATGTCACCAACTCCCAAATCCTTGTTCCGCATTCCCAACACTTCATGCTTAGTCCTTCCTTTTTGACCCCGGAGGGTGCCATGTTTTGCCGTGACGCCCGTGGCCAAACGACGGGTCGGCGGTCGAGGAACAAGGACCGGTACCTGATGTTCCAAGAGGCCAACGTGTCGTCCAACATGATTGGAAGGCCCGTTTGTTTGGAAAGCACACGTGTGGCTGGAAAGCACACGTACGTCACTGGCAGAGTTCCCCAAACTGACCTGAGTATCCAGAGCATCCCAGGACTTACAGAGGACTTTGGCCAGTTTGAGCCTCGGATCGACCAAGCAGGTTGAAAGGCCCACAGGAGGCTGGTCCCAACGAAGGAGATTCCCCGCAACAATCGGTCACTGTGGATTTACCCCATTTGCAATAGAATTGGCTGACACGGCGCCTTTTATGTGAAGAATTGGCTGACACGGCGTTGGCATGTCGTTGAACATGGTTGAACCCGCCGTCCCTCGATCCATTTTGGAGACCTCACTTCGGTCGACCGACACTACCCCCAAAGCTACGTCCCTCGATCGCACAGACATGTTTCGTGCCGGACAAAAAGGGCGCAGAGAATTACTGGTCTCCGCCTTTCGCAGGGCGCGGGTCCAAGTCTTCCAAGAGCTCAAGAACCACAGTTTGATCAACATCACCACCACGGGCACGCCTTTAGCGGCCATCGGCGCTCGATGGCTACAAGCAGGCCGGATGGATGGTACTCGGTGTCCACCCGACGTTGATGAGATGAGATGCCGCAGTTGCTGCGGCCGAGTTCTTTGTGTGAGATTCTCCGATCTGTCGGTTTTCTCCAGTGTTTTTTTCTCGACTGGGAAGCCAGACACAATGGTAAATTCGTCCAGTATGATCCATTTCATATATGATTTTCCTTGAGATTCCATGTGATTCCTGAAATGTTCTTCAACCATTGCAACTACCGTGGCATAAGTTTCTCTGAATGCGTTAATCTGAGAGTCTCCACTCTTTAAACATTTCCCATTCGCAAGAAACACGTGGGCACACTCTAGTCGCCAAGTGCGTGCGCGCTTGCATGGAAGTCAAGATGGCAACATGAACCTGAGGGATTGCCCCCCAAAGAACACCGGTTGATGTTAGCAGTGCCAATTGCGGACAGAAAGCACTTGGACATAGAGACTCTGACCGGGTCTGAATACTTTTGGAGGATTATTTGTTGATGAATCCAATGTTTCGAGGCTTCCTGGCTCGAGGTGCTGCGGGATGTCTGTAGCATTCGAGCATCTCAACCTCTCAACCTCACCGAGGCGAGCCAGTGGACGTTGACTTCAACAAGGATGGTCAAGTGGACCGTTTGACCATTTGGCCTGATGGGCGGATTGCCTATGAGGAGCGCAATGCTCAAGGGGTGCTGGTGCTGAAGGAAGGCCCAGAAAGCCCCTTTGATGGCTCCTGGGACTGGAGATGGAGAGCACCGGTCCGGTGTTTTTCGCTCGTGGTCCTATGACAATTGAGTTTTAGCCAACTGAGGTCATGGACAAAGGATGCAAATGTTTTAAAGTCAAGTAGATATCAGGACATACATATGAGACCAGGTAGCTTTAGCCTTTTTTGTAATGTTTGCATGCTTCAGCACACATGTAATGTTTAAGGGGAAGCTGCCATGTTTTTTTTTGCAGCGAATTGTGTCTAAATACGTAATAGGAGATTCTTTATTATGATCATGGGAGACCCGCGAAAGAAATCTCCCCTCATCCATATTGTTTTTTGCTATTTGTATACATTGGTCCTTGGCTTTGTGCATCCAGACCTTTGCTTGGAGAATCCTCTCGCCATGTCAATTGGAACGAACCTTGCGAGGTCAGTGAGCCTTGAGTAGACCACCGGGCTGAAGCATAAGGACGAAGGTATTTTCAACAGGATTTTCATTTGAGACGAAGCGGATCATCTACGAGGCTCATTGAGCAAAGAAAACATTCCGCTTAAGTTCTTATAAGTTCCAAACAGAAGGCTTCAGCCCCGCGCGGTCTTTCTTGTCGCTTTGCGTGCCAGCATTGCTGCACCGAAAGCCACGCCTTGGACATGATCCCCTTTTCTAATGTCTTTGTGATCCGCACCCTGCTACATGCGGACAAGCTACCTTTCATCCACTCCCCTTTATCTTAAGTAGCCTCACCTACCACGGCTTGGGCTGAACGCCCACATGCAGTTCCTGTGACGTCCACGGTTAGACAGAATCTGAAAACACTACTGAAAAAAAGTGATTCACTTCACAAAACAAATCGCTCCCTGGTGTTGTTGAGGGTTTGCTCAACTTACAAGGGTTTTGTTCGATGAGGCACCTGACCCATCACTCAGGCAAAGCTTCTCAGGCTCAGACAAAACGGATCCACCAAAAACGGTGAGACTTCTTGGATTTACAAATCGAAGGGGGGACGGAGAAGCCTTGTGAGGTTTGAATTTGGACAACGGGCTGGCCGATGGCAAAGTGACCGGTTTTTTGCCCATAGAATCTTGGCATTTGCCGCTGTGAGAGACATTGCAGAGCCAGTTCAGGAATACACGTAGTAGCCACTCTATTTGCAGTGCGCTTGTTGTTTTTTGGTTTATTTGGGGCAGTGGTTGGGTCGATGTTCGTTCCGTTTTTCATCATTCCGTTTGAAGCCAAAGGATTCAGCTACAACAGGGAAAAGTGGTGAACCACCCATCCTATCCCAAGGGTAGACGGGTCAATGTTGAACACCCAAGAGGTCGTTGAATAGGGAGGGTCTTCCTATTTGAGCTACACGCTTTATATTATTACCGCTCACCGGAGTCCCTCAACAGGAACACGCCGGCCCCGCTCCGCTCACGCTCACGTTCCGGGGAAAAAAAACCGGGCCGGGGTTGGCAGATTACTCAAGACATCTCAAGACCCCTCCGAGAAGCCTTGTGATTTGTGAGTTTAAGTCGTTTTTTTTTCCACGGGCATCCCTTATTTCAACGACAGACCCTGGGAGTCCGCGTCTTGCTCATTTTGGCTGATGTTGTCACTGTTGCTTTGGCGATGTCTCTTTAGTTATGGGGTTTCCGTTGCTTGAGCGCCTTGTAGTACCAAGACTGACCAAACCAAATCCAAGAAAATCAATCAGATATCTGATGAAGTAGGGCCCTGCTCAAGTAGATCTCTGGAACCGTCGTTGGAAACTAGGTACTGGTACACTGGTAAACTAGATGTCTGGCAAACTAGATGGTAAACTAATGTAAACTAGGCCTTTGGTAAAATAGACCTTTGGTCAATGTAAGTCTTGGCTAAAGTAGATGCCTGGTAAGCTAGATCCCGAGTGAGTGAAAGGTTTGGTGAAGTATGGCATATTGGATCATATTGGTTAACTAGCGGTAAGCTGGATTGCAAACTGAACCCCTCGTATAGCTAGCTAAGTCGCAATTGATTCTCTTGGACGAACAGGAATTACTTCAGTGCACATACATGACACTGGAAGTACAGAAAGTTGACGAATTCAACGCAACCAGCAGTCACTCCTTTGTTGGGTTTCCGCAGTTTTTTTCAAGAGAGATTTTGATCGTCACCAGCCGATCTGGGAGGAAATCACTGGTGTTTGGTCACTCCGGTCAATCCGGTGCCCCGGAACAGAACGCAGGGGACGATGTCGATGTCATACGTCCGGAGCTCGTGCGGGGTTTTTGCTGACAAACCAGTCACGGCTGCGCACTGAGGATTGGAACCATGATGGGAACATGGATTTGCTCGTTACCTGGGTGAGCGTTCATCAAGATGTCCAATTTTTGATGTTTTGCCCAGTTTGTGTGATGTTTTCAAATTTTGCCACCCAAAGAACAAAACCAACATAACAACTGGCCAAAAAGTGCCTTTTTGGAGGGGGAGTTCCAAGTTGAATCCCCAAGGTTCAAAGGTCGGAATGTTGTATCTTTCGGAATCCTTCACTGCGCGGACCCCATGAAGTATCCATCGTCGGGCTAGTGAGGGGGCTCTGTTGTGTGTTTTTGATTCTCGTTCGTTTGTCATGATATTGAAACAACAATTTGCCGTTTTTTGGACAGATTCTGCTTGAAGGAACCTACTCTCTTGGTCTACAAGCTACATGGAACAGACTTCAAAATGAACCCTTTGGTTGGACGCTTCCACTATGCTGAAAATTCAGGTTTCATGCAGTTTGTCTCATAGAAATGGGGAAAAATTTGCTCTTCTCGGTCACTGCTCTTCTCAGGTTGGCGCTTGGGGTCCACGTCATTTGAAGTACTTCCAAGCAGGCGTGGACTCCTTCCCACTCGGTTCGACGCCGGGTCTCACTTCGGTCTCCCGGCTTTGAATTCGGGGCCACCAGCGAAGGAGGTGGGAAATTCCTTGATCATAATTAAAGCTTTACAAAGACCATTTAGACATGGTCTTTGACTCCCAGGGCATAGCCAGGATTCCGGCGGAGCCGAGTAGAAGAGCTAGTGGAACTATGAACAACAACCTTTTTGAATGGAGTTTGGATAATATGCCTGCACTGTGCTTGTTTGTTGTCACAGCAGCGAGACGTGTCAAGTCCGCCCCGCAGAAAGGGGCCCATGGACATTTGGTTCCTTGGCCAATTCGATCCTCTTACTGGATATATGGTGCATGCAGAGAATTGCCAATGCACCAGCGTTTCAGAATCCATTTTCTACCTATATTTAAAAAAAGGAGGCCGCGACATTAAGAGATGCTCACATTTGCCCGACATGTTCATGAAAGTACGTGATTCCGCGATTTTTTAAAACCCTCTTTGACCACACATTCTCATCCATTTCACGGATCAGCGATGACGGTCACGCAAGGCCTTTTGAGCCCCTTCGCTTCACGCATCCCCCTGGCGACCGACTCTGTTCTGTTGGATCCAACGGTCACGTCGGCGTTCGACCACATCGAGTCAGCCTGACGCCCGAAGCGGCCAGCAGGTCCTTTTAGAAGTGGACTGGGAAATGGTCAAAACAACGAGAGTCGAAGTGCCCGGAGAGTCGGCTTATTGGAACTGCCTTCTTCAGTCAAACTGGTACTCTCTCTCTCTCTCTCCAGGCTGGTGCAAGGTCAAAGCGCCCTGTAGCTTGAAGGGTATCTGTGGGGCTGATGGCTATTGCACCTGCATGAGCGGATATACACTGAAACTTGGAGCGGTTTTGCAGATCCACGGTTCCACAGGGTGTGGCTGAGGAGTTTGGGATCGGGGAAATTGAAGGATGCCCGTGTCCATGAACTGAGTTTGACTTTGCTGTGGAGGCATGATTCATTTGACTTGCCATGACCAGTTGCTTTGTGAGGTGAAGGCCCTGTGAATGCCAGTGATCAGAGCAGCTGCTAAGTCGAAGAGCCCAGGAATCTCAACAGTCCTTATATATAGTTCAACAAGTTGTTTTATGTGGTTAGGAACCTTATTAAGGAAGTCCGTAACACAATCAGTTAATTATATATAGTTATTAAATTAGACTTTATTGTATATGATATACCATTTATATGATGTATATGTTTAAACAACACAAACAGCGCAAGCCTATCATTCTATCTTGGAGGTCCAAGTTCACAATTGGTAGTGCTGATCATTCAGTTGAGAACCACTTCGAACTCTGACAGGGTTGCCTGGGTTGTTTGGGACACTGCCACAAGAACAACATCCTTTGGTAGATCAAAACGTTGCATGAACAAAAACACGCCTGCAAAGGGTGTCGCACTGGACATGCGTTTGAAATGGGTCTCACGGCAACAGAGCAAGATAGAGTCAGATAGAGTAAAACCTACACCTCCTCTTGTCATTGCTGAAGCATAGAGCATCGGATTGCTCAGATACTTCAGCTTCTCAGCAGCTCTGTGGAGCTGGGTTTTGTAACCCTTTTCTCCCAGGAACGATTGCTCGGGCTGTCGTCGTGGCTACTTCACCAAGATTTCCCCACTGGCCGATTTGGTGCAGTACAGCTGTGCTGCGTGCCCGGGCAAAGGCACAGTGCTTTTCCGGACATGATTTTAGGACGTGGAGTTGGAAAAATGTTGGAAAACCTTCCCATCCAACTGTTGTCACTCTAGGGGATGGACGCCAATCAGCCAATCCTCAGTCATGGAAAAAACAACCAAGTGCCTCAAATGGCACCATCCGTGCCTCGGTGACTTCTTTAGCCATATTCGCCATCACTTACCTTGACCCGGGCCTCCGGGTGGAATTCACCCCGATTTGATCCAGCTTCCATTCCCAAACCATCCATGGAACATACAGTATTCTATATATATCTATACATGCATATATATATATATACGTAGATATTCATAGATGCTTCCCTTACCTTGACCCCTGAAGCATCCTGAAACCACCCCAATGCAGCCATATGATATTCCATACTTCTTCAGTGTTTTGTGACCCACCCCGAAGCCCATGGTGTTGACCACCTGCGGTACTCCCGGCTGCCATCAAAGAAGAGAACATTTGCGGCTGCATCTTTCGAAGTGGAAGTGGAAGACATGCACCTGATCTCGTGCACAAATTTCATTTGATCATTTGATCTTTGTATGATTCTTTGTGAAAGGGATGCACCTTCGTTGACATTGACATTGACCACTACGCGAAATACATATCAACCAGAGGGGGCATCTCGGTATCTCTTGGACAACTCTTCAAGTTTCGTGAACCTTTCAGCGCTTTCAGTCCCGTTTCCAGCGGCCTCCATCAGCCGCTTCCGTTCACCGAGCCCCGTCCGAGCCTGTTCCGTGCGTAGGGAGCGACGCTGGGCTTTGCAGCTTCAGAGGTCTTTGCTCCGATGATTTCCACGCCAAATCTGCATATGAGGAGCGAAACCGGCTGCAGAAGAGCATGCTGGCTGGAAATGGGAGCCCTGGACATTGGACATGTTGGAGAAGCTGCTGTTTGATGTTTTTTTGTGTGTGTGTGTGTGCTGGTAGATCTTAGGACCTATGTGGCTATTTAGTAATATATATATATACATTATGTATCAAGAGTGTTTGGGATTTAGGATGTATGACGCCGTCCACTATTATGGAAGAGTTGTCCTAGACTAAGATGTAGCAGATCTTAGCAGCTCGCTTTGTGTTGGGCACATGTTCAGCAGAACATGTTCTGGAGTATCTTCAGTATCTTCCAATGAACAGCAAAAAACAAAGGCAGCAATGGAGAGGAGTGGGGGAGAGGATAGAGGAAGGACCAGACACTAAGAAGAGGAAAGGACTGATGTAACACTGCAACCCCATTAGTGTATATATTCTATATGCATCTGCTCAATCCAAAAACAGCAAAGGAGGACAGGAAAGGAATGGAAACACAATGCAAAGGAGAAGGGAAAGGAGAGGAGAGGCAAAGGAGAGAGGGGACATTAGTTTACGTTAGCCTGTTGCTCTTGTTGTTTTTCTTTCGATCTTCCATGATCTATTTGTTCCCCACCTGCCAGGTGAGGGTTGTTAGATTTTATCACAGTTGTTCTTCCTCCTCCTCCTCCTCCTTCCTTCCTCCTTCCTCCTTGCTTTCTTCCTCGCCAATCTTCATCGCCAATCTGCATCGCCAATCTTCATCGCCAATCTGCTTCGCCAATCTGCTTCGCCGATCTTGTCTGGCCAGCTCCGGATCGCAGTGTGCACCCCTGGACCTCAACCGCAAGGATCCGATCGCAGT